ATGCATGATTAGACATTAGATTGAAAGATATCACACATATGTATGTACTCGGATCCGACTTCTATGTCATTGATTTGTATTTCTAAGTCCAGGTCAGGACGTCAACTGCACTAGTATTTATAGTTCTAACGGAAATATATTTTCTTATTTCCTCACAGGCAAACTGATTTATAATCGCTGACCACGAGTCTTCTTGCATTGTATTCCCAATAAAGGCTATAGTCATTTAAAAAAAGGAAATGTATATAAAAATTGACAAACTCAAACTCATTAGCCAACTGAACGTGTGAACAAAAATTGTCATATTCCTAACTTGGAACAGACATTGCCTGATGAAAATTAAACCTGGTTATGTAGCTAGCTAATACCGAGAGAAACCAGCGTTCACATGAATCAACAATGCTGACCGACTTACCACTCCGTAGATCAAACATTATACACGTTGTTGGGGTAGTCTTTGGTATTTCTGCTGTAAAGCTTGGGCTTATATTATTGAACTAGTTGTACTCGGTCACATACCAGAACAACAAATGTTTTCTCAGATTTGCTCTGCACAAGGAATAGCAAAGTCTTCTACAACAAAAACTGCATAGTTTAAACCTGGTTTACCTAATTATTCAAACGTATGGCATAACAAAATTGTATGTAATATATAATAACATATTTATCCAAAAACTCAAATTTATTGAAATGAATTAGCCTTATATTGATGATTTAAATTTTAAACAAAATATTCTGATTCAAACAATAATTTCTCTGAAATTGACATGATGTTTGATTTCTTGATTGATTACATGGTTATTGTAGTTATACATATTTGCAACGTTCATTGTAGATAACATATGTTGAACGTATCTTTCCCATCGAACCTGAAATAAAGGATACACAGTTACGGTTAAGTAACTAACATCTAGAAATAAACAATAAGGGTCGGTTGACAACGGATATGATCAAATTGTCTTAGCTTCAATTCTTTCCCCCTTTCCCCGATTATACTTATCACCGGGTTATGAACTAACATGATCAAAACGACGAGTGCCACATGTAGAGCTTCACCTGCTTACCCTTCCGGAGCACCTGGGATTACCCCCATTTTTTGGTGGGGTTCGTGTTTTCTATGTTGTGTTTTGTATAATGTTGTTTGTCTGTCCCTTTGGTATCTTTCGCCTCTCTTTTACCAAACATTCTCAAGTCATAATGCCAAGATTCAACTGTTGGTTTTTACTTTAAATCATTCTAAAAAAAACCTACAATATCTGTTTTATGCTAGATTTTGTTATTTCCGTTCCACATGCGGTATACCTGTAGAAACCTTAGTACAAACGTAACGTAGTTTCACAGTTAGTGGGTCGGTACAACAAATAACGGCTTCTTATGGTGTAAATTATTTCATAGCCCGTTCCATGTGCCCATGTCTGCAGTAACTCTTTAAATGTCAGGTATAGTAATTGATGTATATCTGGTAAATAACTTTTCAGAAATTTCGTTACCATGAATTATTCAAGACCATTATAACTAAATAATTGATAGATTCAAAATTTTGTTTTGCATTGGTGGTTGTACTTGTACACACTTAATAACACAATTGTTTATAGAGACCTTATGCCTAGTTATGATCCATTAAAACTTATTTGTTCTTTGAGGTAACGTTTACTTATATGTATTGCACTCGGTTTTTTTGTTTATCAGCCCTTACTGGAGAGTTGTCTCATTGGCACTCATGCCACATCTTCCTATATCTATCTACTGTTAATGTCTTCATGACATGATGTTTAATTTAGATGAACTTTTGTCTGGCGTGATAAACTATAAAACTGGTATATATAATGTTGAGTTTTCATACTGAATCCGTTGGATGTGTACTAATTTATATTTCGGTCTTTCTAAATTATGACTTATTTATCAATTGTAAATGGCTTTGAACTAGCTTTCAGTAAATGTAAGTAGTTTGTGCAATATTGTGCTATAATTGATTGTTTTATCGAGTGTCGTGCCGATCAAATAATTAAAGCACTTGCCAAATATTTTTTACTTTTTTTTGTATGACTGTTATTCTACACTGTATACGTAAGTATCTTTGATGAGTTCTTATAACGCCATTATGAATTGATCGATACAATGTGTCTGTGTCTCAACTCACTAGCGCTAGGTGTCACTGATTTAAGATCGCAAAATACGATAATAGTCGGTTGATCTGTAAACTGATTGTGCCCTATTCCTGATTGCGACATCTTAAATGAATTTGGATTTCCATAACGGGTGATGCATGCATAGTAGGAGACGTTTACCTTATCTTTGCACCCTGTGTCTCTTAGGTTTGATTTCATGCAATTCCAAATGTTTTAAAATATTTTTACCCCGATTTCTATCTAGCATTATCCTTTTACATCACGTTCCGCTATATATATGCGGTCCTCTCACCACTGAAATAATTTTTGGTTACTTTTTTTAACGCATCTTTCCCATCGAACTTGAAATAAAGGATACGAAAGATAAGCCTGTTCAAATATTGACTTACAATGAGGGTTGGTTTAGAACAAAACGATAAAACAAAAGTGATTAACTCAGATTCCCAAGTTTGACCTTTCCATTTCTATGTAGCAACATGCAAGCAGCGCCTGCATATGGAATATATATACTCGAAGTTGATACGATATTTCAGGCCTTGCATTTCCTATAAATATTTCCATGATATATGTTGCTGCTTACAAGGAAGATATTAAACCAAGAGTTTTGAGTGGTGAAGTTGAAATCATCCCTTCGAAAATACGGACACCATCATGAGTATGTTGACAGTATCATATCTGTTGCAAAGATGACGACATATATGTTCCAATTTTCGTCGCCAAAACCCCGTCTTCTTCTACTCGAATGTGACATACTGAATTAGAAATTTACCGTTATGGTACTGACATGAGTAACATGACTGGTGCCTTATGTGGAGCACCTAATAAAAAACCGGGGTTTTATGGGGTTCGTGTTGCTTTGTCTGACATTTTCTATGTTGTGTTTTTGTATACTGTTATTTGTTCGTTTTTCGTCTATCGCCATGGGATTTTCAGTTTGTTTTTATGGGAATTAGAATATTCTTGTGATATCTATCGCCTCTCTTTTGTTGATGGATTTTTATAACAAATATTGGTAACTTACTGTTGCCTTCAATCTAAAACATTACTGTCCAATGCTTGAAAAAATGGAAGAAAATACCAAAACGTAAAAGTCCGTTAAATTTGACAATAATAAAACAAACAACGACAAAAAGATGACCAATTCCAAACTATAGTATATAGAAAATAAATAGAACAAGGGCACCTTAGAAAATAGTGATAAAATGCTATAACATAAAAAAAAACAAATGCATAACAACTAATTTTAAATAAATATATAAAAACAATTATTGAATAAGATTCCAAAAAAGAAAAAAAATGAAATTATATACAGTCAAACAAACAACACTTTATAAATTATAAACTTCGTGAATCCATAGCGTTTTTCTTGATTTACCTTCACTGGAACGACAAAATATAAGCATCTCGAAATTGTTCAATGAGGGTCGGTTGAAAACAAATCTTTACGACAAAAGAGATGATTTCAGCTTCCTAATTGTGAACTTTCCATTTTTATGTAGCAACATTCCAACAGCGCCTGCCTACGGAATATATATTTCCCAACTGATCCGATATTCCCTTGCTTGTGTTTCCTATCATGATTTCATTGATAGAGGATTGCTGCTCACAAGAAAGCTATTAAACCAAGAGTTCCAAATGGTGAAGTTGAAATTATCCCTCCTTAAATTTTACGGACGCCATCACGAGTTGGTTGACCATTATGGAATATCCGTTTCATAGATGATAGCGGATATGTTCCTAATGTCGTAACTACAATCCTGTCCCCTTTTCACGAATGTGACCTACCGAATTAGACTTTGTTATCGGTTTTGTACTAACATGAGCACCACGACGGGTGCCACAAGTGGAGCAGGATCTGCTAACCCTTCCGGAACACCTGAGATCACCCCCAGTTTTTGATGGGGTTCTTGTTGCTTAGTCTTTAGTTTTCTATGTTGTGTTTTGTGTACTATTGTTTGTCTGTTTGTCTTTTTTCTTTTTTAGCTATGGCGTTGTCAAATTATTTTCGATGTATGAGTTTAAATGTCCCTCTTTTAAATGTCATGGATACATAAACATGAGGCAACGTCAGGAACTATATGTGTTAACAAATAAATGAATGCTCTTGGAAACTTAAAATAGAGTTTTATAGCTTCACTTTGAAACATCATTTATAATTGACCGACAAGGACGATATGTACAATCAACTGTCTCGATAATTCACAAGTGTTATCATTTTTTTAATCATAATGCAATATAAATAAAAAAAGAACTCCCAAAATGACGTACAAGTTAAATAGCTATAGTCGTACACTAGCTCTACGTGATTTTGGAAAGAAGAATTCCATAAATGTTTCATCGAATGAATAAGTCTTGACCTTAACTAATTACGCAACTTCTGAGTGGCAATATGTCAGTCTTGGATATTCGTGATAAAAGTAGATTTGATCTCGTGATATTTAGATTTGAAATTTTTGTTGTTGTACAAGTCGCATTTTAGATTAACAATGTTCTTGACAAGAATTTAGAAATAAGAAACAAATGAAAAATTACACAAGATGCATCAACAACCGTAGCTCTTGTCCATACATTTACTTTAACCTTTTTAAAAATGTACCCACAACCTATATTTACATATCGACATGGTTTCTATGAGTTTGTGCTCGACTAATAAAGCAATAAAAATAATAGAAAAATGGTCAAATATTGATAATACTATTAAAGGAAATATGGCTTAAAGATGTATTCTTGACTATATTATTGACTTAGTATTCTATGGTAACAATTATGGTTTTCCATATATTTATGAGTTATTGCAAAAGTTTTTTTTTTTTACATCTTTATTTGTAGATGAGACTTTAGAATGATATGAAAATAAAAATATATATTACAAAAAAAAATGTATTTACAAATACGGTCATACATGCAAAAAATCAAAAACAAAAACTAAAAATAAATAGATATATCAAAAGGTGTTTAGATAGAATCTGGTCTAAGGTAAAACATCAAAAGCTATTCTATGGTACAACTGTTCATCCATACCAGTTCTAGTGAAATAGACATAAAGCATTTTTTCTAGCTCGATATGTTCAGGAATTTTGTATTTTTGATGTAATGAATACACCAACATAAAACCAACATACATTTGTAGACAAAAACATGTGTCTCACCATTATGTAAAGCAGATTTGCACCACAAGGTAGCAATACAATTGTACAAAAACAGACAAAATAACACAAATTAAAGTATAAATAAAGCATACAATAAAGTTCCAATGCATTTAAAACTATATAATAGCCTGAAACGTATTTTCTGCAATGACACATGTACACACCGATCGATCGAACAGGAGGAGAAGAAGCAACATTTCTCATCTATAAATAAACTAGATGGCTCTGCAAGATATGGTATTGTTTTAGTCAGTAATACTGCTTATAGAAGATAAGGTACTAATCGTATAGTTTTCATATAGCAATCTTCAACCACGGAACTTCATGATTCTTGACATCTTCTCATTTTACTTTTCATCGGTATATATATCTTCAGCAAAATGAAATTTGTTCTGTATCTTCAAAATGAGAACCATCGTTTCCTTTCTGGAAGTCAGACATGCTTTGTTCAATGTTCTTGTGTTTTGTTACTGCTTCATCGAAGTCGCCGAAGGGTATAACTTGTTGATACGGATTGGCATTGCCGTATATTTGAACAGCAGAATTTATGATTGGCCCTGAATTTCCAGAAGATATATTTTCAAAGTTTTGTGTTGTCTCATTCGGTAATGTGGGATGTATATCGACCTCTGTCATTGAAAGATACGAGTTTGAAAAGCCTTCATTAGCAGGCTCGGATACATCTTCGTCAGAAAATGAAAATGAACCGCTAATCCAATCTTTGTCGACGGTTGCAGAGTATCTCATTCCGGCTTGATTTACATGTTCAGTGCTGGTCACAATGCGTATCAACGTACGATTATCAATCATAGTATTCTCATCAACTAAATCATTGGCATTCTCATTGTTCCGTCTAATATTTTCTCGTTCGACAGCTGCTTTATTATTGTGTATTCTTGGGAATCTCGAATTGGGAAAGTTTGCAGCTTTTCGTTTGTATTTTAAACAACACGATGCTAAAGCCATAATTATTGCAATACCTCCTGCACCCATTGAATATATAGTTAAGAATATTCCATCTATAATGGAAGATAGCAATGTGCATGAAATTAAGTAAACGTTGGTATAACTGTACATGTAGCAATATATATTTAGTTGTTTTTTTAAACACAATCAATGTTAATACCGATAAAAACAATATTTTAAACTTTTAATACTGTGTTATATTGATAATCTAGGTCTAGCCAAATTTTCTAAAAAGAAAAAGTAAAAGAATGATACAGCTAAGAAAGATTACGAATACTTTATTTAAAAACATACAAGAATCATTCAGTTTAAAGATTGAAGTAAGGCTCAATATGCCATCATAATAAGGAGGATGAGAGCCTTCTGACATGACACTATTAGCAAAAAGAAACGTTTACGCACGCAAAATGCAGCAAAAAAATGTTACCACTGATAACGTCGTCATGCGTAAAAACACCTAATTGAATGTACTTGTTAAAACTAGGTTTGGTATAATAAACAAAATAGAAAATGTACATTTACCAAACTAAATATTCGATAGTGTATTCTAAAATGTCATTTAATGACACTGGGGGTTGTTTCAATTTAGGAAAGTGCTTTTCAAACGCATCTACACCATGTTTCGGAAATAGCACTCTTCATAAACGGATGTCCACCAAAGAGTGTTTTGGTAGCATCACATATAATCAATCTTACTTTCAGTACCGTTTTATTTTACTAATAATTGACTTTTTCTGTGTGTAGCATGCCTGAAACTACTTGAATCTGTTGTTATTTATCATATAAAAACGTGTACTGTACAGTGAAACTCCCTCACATAAAACAAACAAACAAACGCCACATTTAATATGTGCCTGTCCCAGGTCAAGAGCCTGTAGTTCAGTATGTGTCATTGGTTCATGTATGTCATATTTATTTTTCGTAAATTGTTTTGTTATAAATTAGGCCGTTCGTTGTCTCTATTATATTGTTTCATATTTTTCATATCCTGGTCTTGTATAGCTCACTATTACGGTATGGCTTCGTCCCATTGTCGAGGCCGTACGGTTGCCTATAATTGCTTACATTCACTTCATTTGAACTTTTTCTGTAGTGATCTTATTGGCAATCGTACCAGATTTTCTTATTTTGTATAAATACAATCAACAATGAAAAACACACGGTCAAGATAGCTTTTGTAATGCATTTTATAATATATGTAAATCTAAGTTACCATTTGTGTCAGTTGTTGAAGCACTATTTGCTTGTCTTGTATTCTGTGTTGTTTCCGTTGATTTAGTTCTTTCCAAACCTTCTGTAACATATTTTCACAATTTAGTCCTTCGAGTAGTAATATGAATAAATGTTGATTGTTATAATCATATCCTCCTGTACATAAAATAACAGCAAACATGTCTGCAAATTATTTTGCAGAAAAAAAACCAAAATAAAAAAAACATATTTGCAGATTTGGTTAAGTATTTCAGTAGAATGCTTGACATAGATGTGGATATTAGTTAGAAATGACAGGAAATGTATTACTTAAAACAACAAACACACAAAAAATATAAAACAAAGAAATTGGTGAAGCAGATCGTGATAACAAATGCATCGTCAATTTTATCAATGAGAAACAATACAAACATATGGTGGTTAAGTGCATAGATATTACGAATAAGTTCACGAGTAGATATTTATATTGTACGAGTTGTCGGGTGCGAAAATTATTCAATGTGGTGTTATATTCACCAATATTCATGTAATAACACTTTTATTGTATTGCTAAGCTAATCTAAAGCTTTGTTTTGCACTAGTGCAATGATATACTATTACATGCTTACTTTTGGTACCTATCTGTATAAAATATATTGTTGCTTTTCGATAAATTAACTTTCTGCATTTAATAATGTGTTATCTTACATCTGTTCATAGTATACCAAATGCTATGGCTATATACATTTAGTTTGTTATCGACAGTAATTCAAAATGCATAGTACCTTCTTGGAAACCAATCAATCAAAATATGATTTTTGCAACACCTGTTTCCATTTTGCAACACTAGTTTCCATTTAAAACTAACATTATAACTCTTTTTAGCATGTTTTTTCCATGAGGTACATCATCATAAAAAGCAATAAATGTATTCCGTAAGATATCTTGCCCTTTTCTGCCATGTTGAGGATTACTATATATCTTAAAACATTTTTTTTAATTTATTTATTTTTTATTTTTCATAGAAATTAGTGTATTGTGTTATTAGGAGTAGAGTTTCCGAAGTATAGGGAGAACATTTTATGTTCAGGGTATTTGCGAATATGTCTAAAGATTTACGTCACAATAACTAGATACAATGGTAACACTTATTTGGCCGCCGCATACAAATACAACAAGGTATGATACAAATGTGTATACAGGTATCGATATTTCTCACCAATCTTTACACGTCAGAGTATATCCCGTAAGGAAGCCGATTGTCGCATTGGGTTCAGACAGTTTGTTAATTAAACCCAACATTTGGTTTGTTTAGATGTTCATTGTCGGCGAGGTCGTCCATGATTGAGTTATTCTGCCGCCATTTATGTCTTTCGTATTTCATTTTTGCTATACGTCTTTATTTTTTGTCTGTATTATTTCAATTGTTATCAACATAACTTGTATGTTTGTTTGACTTTTTCTTTTTTTGCCATGGCGTTGTCAGTTTATTTTCGACTTTTGAGTTTGAATGTCCCTTTAGTTTCTTTTGCTTCTCTTTTGTATCTATATTTATGATTTTTTAATTCATTTTGTTTCGGGTATTTAATACATTCCGATGTGTACTATGTTTGCTAGTTTATATACAATACTATGTATATAATATTCCTTGAAGCCCTTATATAGAATAAAAGATATGAGCGCATGGAATATTTTTGTATTTCTTTGTTATATCAATCGTTGCTTTTCTTTAATAAAACTCATTCGTAACCTATTTTGGAGGCAATACACAGAAAGCTTTTTCAGATTTTATTTTCATGCAATATCCATATTACAAAAAGAACTTGCTAGCTTGATTCTTCTTATTTAGATCGACGAAATACAAAGTGAATCCTATTAACAAGTAAATAGATTAATTATCAAACAATTTATTGTATAAACAAGTTGAATTCATCCCTTGGTAAATTTTACAACGCCACGAGTTGGTTGACCGTTATTGAATATCCATTTCTCAGATGACAACGGATATGTTCCAACACACATCCCGTCCCCTTTTCCCCGAATGTGATTAGACTTATCACTGGGTTTGTACTAAGATTAGTAACACGAAGGTTGCCACATGTAGAGCAGGATCTGCTCACCTATCCGGGGCACCTGCGATCACCCCCAGTTTTTGGTGGGGTTCGTGTTGCTCAGTCTTTAGTTTCTATGTTGTGTTCTTCGTACTGTTGTTTGTCTGTTTGTCTTTTTCTTTTTTTATCCATGGCGTTTTCAGTTATTTTTGACTTACAAGTTTGAATGTCCCTTTGGTATCTTTCGCCTCTCTATTACTGCAAATCAAGCATCTTGTGTGAATATATATCATAGCCGTTGTTGAACAATGTAAACACGAGCTTAAATATTGTTTTGTAAAGTCGGGGAATGCTGCATATTGATAATGTTATGAACAATTTAGATTCGATTTTCTATTTTTGCGAAATAAAATCCCCTCACAATTTCCACAGTCATAAATTCATAAACAAAGTTCTTAATTTACAGTTTAATAATACAAATAATAATCATCATTAAACTAAAACGAATAGTAATGCTAATAATAATAATGATTATTTTTATAAACATTATTGTTATTATTATCGTTATTATTAGTATTACTATTGTTATTATTATTATAATTGTTGTTGTTGTTATTTTTGTCAAAACTAATCAGCGGTTAATCTTTTCTTTTGATCAAATTGAGGGATATTGTGAAAAAGCATTATTATTGAGTCAGAATCGAATATTACCTGACATTATAGTTGTCTCCTTTACACATCCATACACAATATCACATCTGAAAGATGTATGAATCACATAATTGTAGGATATCCACGTGTCTGCAACATGCATTTTTGCGTTTACATTTCATCATTTGGCATGTAATAAATACAAATGCAAACACATATCTCACAAACATGGGTCAAAAATGAAAAAAAAACAAATGATGTGAATAACAATATATTTGGGATAGATTTTAATCTCTCTCGCACAACTTGTCTTGCTGTAACCGAACTGTTCTTGAACAAGACAGCTCTTCTGGCACTGTTAACTGTTCTTACCTAGAATTGTTTTGTGAATGATAATTCGTATTGTGTGTCATGCATTTATAACACACTTACCATGTCGACGCATTCGTTCTCACTTCCGAAAGCATTCATGCGATTCCGTCGGGTCGGTTTATTTCATTTACAATTTTTCTCTCACATCCAAGAAAGCGAAACAAAAGACCAAGGGATCGCATTTACTTGATTGATAGCGTTTGGATTTTGTCAGTTTATAGAATCACATCCTTTTTATTGAATTTGCCTTGAAATTCAGTATTTTTTTATACTTTTTGGCTCCAAAGGGAGTGAGACCGGTTGTTTTGGCCTAGTAAACGTTCACTGGTTTAATGCCTTACCCGCCATGCAAATACACACTCCGTAAACTTACAAATACGACGAATATATATGGTGTCCAAAGACCTAAGACCGCGACAAACTGATGCTAGTGAGTTGAGAAACCGACACATTGTATCGGTCAACGAATTTGTGATGGTGACCGAGAATCTTATGATGTGTCGAATTAAATCGGTTTCCCTCTGTTGAGGTCGTTCATATGTACAGAGCACTTCCTATTAAAACAATTCCGTACATGTATAGTGTGAACATGAACGAGCGTAACGTTTTGACAGATATATGTTGAACGTCATCAGATGGAGCAGAAGAAATATTACTACTGAGAAGTGGGAAGCTAACAATTGGAAAGTTAATATTAAAACGTGTGTCATAGATTTTAGTTTGAAGACGTCCATAGGTGTCAATATCGAAGAAAATATCAAGATATGAAGTAGACCTTTTTCCTTTCTGTAGTTTCTTTAATCTTAAGTTCACTAGAATATATGAGATATAAGCAATCATAAAAATGCTGGTTATTGAGTGACAGAACATCATCAATACAACTGAAAGTAAAATTAAAGAACTGTGCCACATTCTTTTTTTTGTTTGTCAGAAGTTTCTATTTAAATTCTGCTACATATGCGTACAACAATAAATCGGCAAAAATAGGGTTGCACAATAGTACCAATTCTAGTATCGACTGTTTGTTGAAATATCAACCCACTAGAATAACAAAAGTACGTGAAAGAGAAGACGCAGATGGTCTTTCCGAGTGGATAAAGGCTGTCAAGAAGTTGACAAAAAAAAAAAACATACAATAGTCGTTGGTTCATATCTGTCATATTTATTTTTTGTTAATCGGCCAATAGTTTTCTCAATTGAATTGATTCATAATTTTTATGTCGGGGCCTTTTTTAGCCGACTATACGATTTGGGGTTTTCTCATTGTTGAAGGTCATATAGTTGCCTATAATTGCTAACATCCACTTTATTTAAACTTTAGTGGATAGTTATCTCATTGGCACTCACACCAAATCTCCGTATTTTCATAAAGATTTAATGAATCTATTAACACTCATATTGCATTTATCTTTTCAGACTCCCGCAGACAAATCCTCACACAATATTGTTGTTTGTACATGATATTTTATAAATTGCTTGATAAATCAATAAGGTGTTGACAATTCAATATTAAAACCTAACACATACTTCCATGATAGTGACAAACGTTTCAATATCTACTTTCCAATTGTAAAAATCCCATGATTAGCCGTAACATACACTCTGTCCTATAATTTGGTGTTCGTATGTCTTATTGAATGCGTTACGATTGTGCACAATCGCTTTATGGATGTGGACATATTCAACTGAGTTGTCCTCCTAACACAAAAAACTGCTCTAACAGAATTAAAGGAAGGAACGGCTGCACTGAAATCGAAATAACCATCCTGCATGACTGTGTCTGTGTGTGAATTGGCATTGCAGGTTATGCATACATAACAAGAAATGCTCTGGATTTCGATGACATCCAGTATAGCAGCTTTTGAGTTCATACGATTTACTGTTTTTATTGTATCTTTTTGATGGAATTATGATATTTGAAGATCGGAAAACGTCTGTTGCCTCGAATCGATCTTCAATTCAAAACAGTTTTACTGATTATCTCGACAGTTTTGAACAATGTAAGAACTGGAGTC